ATAAATAAATAAATAAATAAATAAATAAATAAATAAATAAACAATAAATAAATAGGTAATCTTTTCAAAAAGGAAGAGAGAGAGAAGAGAAAGCAGAATAGATTATCTGAAGGAGGTAGGGGACCAGCCAGAAGTGGGTAGGGGGATGAAGGAGGGCAGTGAGAGAAGGTGATGAATAAGAATAAAAGCTCTGTCTCCAACCGAAACTGGGAAGCCAGGAAGACAGCAGTTGTTAAAGTGCTTATCTTGCGAGCATGAGGACCTGAGTTCCATCCCCAGATTTCATGTTAAAAGGGTGGGGTGGGGTGGGGCCTGGTAGCGCACACCTGTAAACCCAGCACTGAAGATACAGATAGGCAGACCCCAGGACTTGCTGGACAGTCAGTCCAGCATATTAGGCAGGCTCCAGGCCAGAGACTCAAAAAAAAAAAGGTGGACAGTACCTGAGGAGTTATACCTGAGGCTGACCTCTGGCTTTCACACACATGCACACATATATGCACACATGCACACATACATACATGAGCACACACACACACACACACATAAGCTAAAACTGTTTCTGGTTCCAGATGTGACTTCTTCCTCCTGATGTGGCTCTCTGCACCAGGAAACAATGTAACCAAGGAGTCACCTTCGCCACACTATGTCTTAGGACTTTCAGTCTCCAAAGCTGAGCTAAACAGACTTCTTTTGTATTCGTTAGTGGCCTGTGTCAGTATTTCACTGCAGTGACAAAAAGCTAACCAATACACCTTCTAAAAGTCTTGTCTCCAAATACCATCACCCTGTACACATGACTTTTGGGGAGACACGGACATTCAGACTACAACCTCAATTTGAGCTCAATAATAATTGCATTATCCTGCTTAGAACTCTGTAACAAAATGACAGCTAAGGCAGTTTAAGCAACAGAAGTCTTTTTTTCTGGAAGTTCTGGAGGCTAGTGGTCCATGCTTGGGTTGTTGGCAGGTTTGCTTTCTCCTTCCTTAGCTTGCAGATAGCTGCTTTCATGCTCTGTTCTCACAGAGAAAAGTGTTTACATACCAGTGTCTCTTCTTCACCTTCAAAGAATGCCAGCCATACTGAAAGCTGGGTGTGGTGCTGGAGGCCTCTAATCCCAAAACTCAGGTAACTGAAGCAGGAGGATCTGGAGTCTAAGGCTAGTCTGTGATATGATGTAATGAGTTCAAAGCCAGCCTTGGGCTATACAGTGAGTTCCAAGCTAAACTGGGCTACTAAATGAGACCCTGCTTGTTTCAAAAAAAATCTGAAAAGAAGAAGAGGAAAAAGAGAAGGAAGAGGAGGAAGAAGAGGAAGGAGAGAGGGAGAATAACCAGCTATATTGGTTTAAGGTGCCAGCCTCATGACCTCATTTAATGACCTCCTTAAGGGCCCTGTTTTGGGAAGTGAGATGTTGCTGGAGATTGAGCCTGTAGCCTCCCAAGTCCTCTACCATTGAGCTACACCCTAGGCTTGACTCTCTCTTTAAATACAGTCACATTGGCAGTTGGAGCTTCAACATATGGATTTTTGGAGACAAAATTCAACCCTAACAATGACACACCTTCACCAGATGCAGTGACGTCACCAGGTAGCGTGACATCACAGCACAGGGTGCCTCTCCACTTTGCCAGCTTCTGGCTTCCTTACCATCCCCAATGGCAGATGCACAGGACATGGTGGCTTTTTCCCTGAATGCATTTGCAGGGCCTACATATGTGTGTGTCTCTGTGCATTATAAAGCTCCAAGGCCTTGTAACAGAGATGATGTATCCCCACTGAAGAAAAATGACAGTCAGAATGATGAGAGGAAGCCAATTTGTCATTTAATGCAGAGGCTGATTGTGCTGCAACAACTGCCTCACACTGGGATTGATTACAAACAAGATGACATTTCCCTGTGGGCTGCCTCATGTGTTATTATAAATAAATACCACTTGCTTTAGCATCTGCATGGCTGCAGCAAAGAGATTCTACCTCGGCGCCTTAGGTATGTAGTAAATATCCCAGGGAACACAACGGCCCTCCTCAACCTACAACCTGAGCTTTGCCTCACGAGACAGTTTCATAAATAACATGAAGCTGTCAGCCAATACCATAAGAACAGAAAACAAACACAAGTTTGACTAATCCTAGGAGTCATTTTCCTGAAACGTTAACCTTAAACTGTGATGAGGTTTTGTTCCAAAAGGCCTAGGCAGAAGGACACAAGGGCCTCGCACACTGTAACCCAGCACTCAAGGGGCTGAGGTAGGAGAATCACAAGTTTGAGTTTAGCCCAGGCTCTACAGTGAGATCCTGTCTTTTAAAAAAGTTAAATTATAAAACAACCCAGGGCCCCTCAGCAGCTGTTGGTATTTTTTATTATTTTCCATTTCTCATTAGCTCAAGAGAATCAGTTGGTTTCTGAAAGTATTTTCTGAAGACCACAATGGGATCTTCAAGATGGAAATAAATCTGTTAAATCTTTCGAATATCTCTTTGCCCTTGCCCTGACTGTTCCAAATCTGTCATCTTTAGAATTTCAAATAAATAAGTTATTTTAACCAAGGAAATATAGAAAGACTTTTTTCTGTTTATTTCCTTATGCCTTGCAAGGTTGGATTTCATCTGCCTGTGGAAAATATATTTTTTTCATTTCCGTGCCTATCCACTCATTTTCTATCTTCTCCACCTCTTCTCAACATTTTCCTATCTCTTCAATCTTGCCCTCCATAAACCAGGAGCGGTTGGCCTTTGTTTCCGGCGTGATACGAGTGCCCCCTGCTGTCCAGAATTGAGAACAGCTCCGCAGCCCTGCAGGCTCAGACCAGCAAGAGAAGAAAAAAAACTACAGCAGGTCTCCTATCTCTGGGCAAACGCTGGAAGGATTGTTAAAATGAATAATTTATTAAATCGCGATTGTTTATTGACTGCCCTTTCATTATTTACTTTTCAGTTATTAAACACACCCGCAGAGTGCCTGGGTGTCAGCCCTTGGCCGACTCGCAGCCTTTTTCCCAGGGAGGGATGTTGCCAGCCCCTCTCTCCACCCAAGACATTTTCGATCTCTTTTGTCAGGTCGGGGTCAAACTACAGTTGTTCCGTGATGACTTTATCAATTCTCAGTTGATAGACTCTAAATGAAAAACTGCCCGCTGCTGCTTCGAGGCCACTTAAGAAGGGGGTTATCTGTGTAATGTTCTGTCAGTCGGGCAGAGTCTGAGACAGACGTTAGGAGTCAAGTGAAATGGGGAAAAGATGTTTTTAATGCCTTTTTATTGGTCTCTGTTCCCCCACATCCAGGACCAGCTGACACCCATCCTGGACTGTTCTTCCAAATCAAAACAGGTAAAGGAAGGAAATCTCTCTCTCTCTCTCTCTCTCTCTCTCTCTCTCTCTCTCTCTCTCTCTCTCTCTCTCTCTCTCTCTCTCTCTCTCTCTCTCTCTCTCTCTCTCTCTCTCACACACACACACACACACACACTCACACACACACGCAGGCGCGCGTGCATTCAGAAGGAAGATAACAAGACACCCTACAGAATTATGCTAACTACCTTGAGGTAGGTCAAAAAGCACGGGTCTCTGATGGGAGGGGCTCTTCCCAAGAAGAAAATTCTTACTTCAGATGTGAAGGGAGGTACCAGTCTGTACCCAAGAAGCCTCTGCTTTTTAAAACCCAAACATTTTTACCCAGCAGGATGTCAGAAAGGTGTGTGGCACCCCAAAATAAATAAGTAAGCCTCAAGGCAAAGAAGCAGCACAAAGTCATAATAAATAAACAAATAAACTGCATTCTAAAACCTAAACATTTTTTAAAAAGCAAACAACGGCCAGCAAGATGGGTCAGCAAGTAAGGGTACTTCCTGAGCAAGACCGTAGACCTGAGTTCAATGCCCAAATCCCACCATGGAAGAAGAGAACCAGCTCCTGAAAGTTGTCCTCTGAGTTCCAAACCCACACACACACACACACACTAATAATAATTAATTAATTAATTTTAAAAAAAAGAAAAAGAAAACTGAGCTGGAGAAATGGGGTCAGCAGTTAAGAGCACTGACTGCTCTTGCAGAGAACTTGGGTTTGATTCCCAGATCCACATGGCAATTAACACCGCCCCCCAACTCCAGTTCCAGGGGATCTGCCCTCTTCTGGCCTCCTCGAGCTTTGTACAACACAGGTGCACTTACACACATGCAAGCAAAACACTCATACACATAAAATAAAAATAATAAAATATTTTATAAAAGAAAAGTCCAGCATGTAATGACTGGTACTGAAACTCTTCACAATCACCAGAAAATTTTCTCCACTCTTTCTCTCTCTCTCTCTCTCTTTCTCTCTCTCTCAAGTCAATTGTTTCATTTCCAAATAACTCATTAACAATTTACATTGGAATTTGAGGAAAAGCATATTACCAGATATTGCTGTAAATAAAAACACTAAATAAAATTAGAAATGCCATCAAATTAGCCCTTCTCTCAGATTAAATATGACTTTTAAGGAAAAGTCACAACTTGATATTTTTCTTTTACAGTACTGATATTTTGCATCCTCTGCATCCAGAATGTACAGGGGTAACACAGAGCAGGGGCAGGGGCAGGGGCAGGAAGGGATCTCACCAATGGGCTTCCCAGCATGTCCAACCCTGCAGCCCACCTGCGGCATGCACCCCACAAAGGCTAAGAATGAGACCCAACATCTTTGAAGATCACACATCCTGCCACAGTGTCAACAGGCTGGACACACCTGGCTTACATCTGGATAGTTTCTAAGAGAGAGATCATTTTAGCAGCCAAGAGCCCTAAATTTGATGTGACTCTGACCTCTGACTTGGATTCCACCTGTGGCTTCACCAGTTTTGAGATTTGAAGGAGTTACACACAAAGCTTAGGTTTCCTTCTTGGTGAATTAAACTGATGTTTCTTACTTCATAAAATTAAATGTGAGTTCATCCATGTCATATATATAAATATCTAACACAATTAAGGGTATGATCAACATGCAAGACATATACAGACCCTTAGCTTTCTACCCTTACTCCCTTCTTTCTACTCTAGAAGCCAGACAAGAAAAGAGTCTTCCCAGCTGAGCAAGATGGCACATACTGGGATCCCAGTATTTGGAAGGTTGAGGCAAGGAAATCAAGGGTTCAAAGCTAGTTGGGCTACATAGCAAGATCCTGTCTTGAATTAAAGAAGGAAGAAGGCATGGGCTGGAGAGATGGCTCAGAGGTTAAGAACACAGGCTGTTCTTGCAAAAGACTGGGGTTCGAATCCCAGCTCCCACATGGCAGCTAACAACTGTCCATAACTCTTCTGTCCTCCACAAACATTGCATGACACGGGTGCACCTACCTATGTGCAGGCAATATACGCATACACATAAAATAAAAATAATAAATAAATTTTTTTAAAAAAAAGGAAGAAGGGAAAAGGACGGAAGGGTTCAATGGTTAAGAGCACTAGTTGCTCTTGCAGAGGACCTGGGTTTGATTCCCGAGAGGAAGGGAGAGAAAGCTTCTAATTTTTAAACTTCCTAAAGCCTGCCTGCTTCAGGGCAAGGGGCAACAGCTTCAGTATAGAAAGCTGGTCTAGCACACTGTGGTCCTGTGTTCAACCCCACAGCAGCAATAGCAATAATCAAGATGGTGGGGGGGGGGGGGTTGGGAGGGGAAGCTATCTTGACGAAGAGCTCTGAAAACTTGAGAATTGTGAGAGTCCCACAGTCCAAGACCAAGCCTGGGGATGTAGTTATTGTCTAGCACACACCCATCATGTACTCAGGAGGTAAGGCATGATGATCAGAAGAAGTTCAAGGTTATTCTCAGCTACATAGCAAGTAGAAGGCCAGGTTGGGCTACCCGAGATCCTGCCTTTCTTAAACAAAGCCAAGTCTATCTTTTCTCTGTTGTACATCCAATTCCTAATCTAAAATCAGGCACACAGTGGGTGCTTACTAGATATTTTCTTTTCAGTTCCTGGCTTTTTCCTTTCCTAGCACCACCATGAAGTCAACACAAGATAAAAGGTAGATTCCTTTTGAATGTTATAGTTTGACAAAGTCTGTCCATCTTCCAGCTGCTTACCAGCAAAGATCAACCTGGCTGGAGGGTTGAAATGGGGAAGAGAGATAAGCTTTCTGAGAGATTTGGTTGAGCCTTAAATTGTCCTCCTCCCTCAGATCAACCTACTTTTCATCTTGTATCTGGATATAAGAAGGTATGACCATTTTAAAATAAATCAATAAGGGGTGGAGAGATGGCTCAGCAGTTAAGAACACTTGCTGTTCTTGCAGAGGACCCAGGTTCAGTTCTCAGAACCCACATGGCAGCTGACCACTGTCAGTAGCTCCAGTTCCAAGGCATCTGACGCCCTCTTCTGACCTCTGTGGGCACTGCACAACTTGGGTGCACTTACATCCATACAGGCAAAACACTCATACACATAAAAAATAAAAATAATAAATAAAATATTTTAAAATAAAATAAATCAATAAATATGGTTAAAAATATGTCCAAATCCAAAGAAGAAGGGTTGTTATAAAGACCCCCAAACACTTCAAAGACTACACTGTCATATAGTCTAAAAACAGAAGTGACGGGCAAGCAAAGTGAATGACTGAAATAATCAGTTTTCAAACCATTTTTATTTCTTCAAAGCAACATAAGATTAAAGGAAGAGGATGCGGAAGAGGTGGAGGAGGAGAGCAAGGGGAGGTGGAGAAAAAGGAAAACGAGCAGGCAAGAAGACCGAACTAATCCCCCAGGCAGGAACTTCAAATGTATCTTTAGACAGAGAAACTCTCTCTTCCCATAATGTATCTGTCCACCTTGATCAAAATTTACAGGGAGTCTATCACCATAAACCCAAGCACTTTTCATTATTTTTATCACAGGAATGGAGGCTGCTTAACTGGTAAGTGCTTTGAAATTTCCTGAGCAATAATGCTAAGTGCAAGAAGTTGCTATTATGTCCCCTGCCTCCTTCCTCTGGTGCTTCTAGAGCCTCAAGAGAATCATGAATATTGGGAAGGGGTCAGAACAATGTGAGGTCGAGGAAAATGGGAGGTGTCGGTACAGATATCTACAAACAACACCCATGTCATCTTTTCAAAAATATGTTTCACTCACCCAGCAGTGAAAGAATTTTTGATGAGCTTGGAGAGAGTACAGTAATGCAATTGTCTGGCAGAAGCCTGACTTTCTCTCCCACCCTCTGTAGGGATCTATTAAAGAAACAGGAAATGGAAAGAGAAGCTGTGTGTGTGATGGATGTCACTTAGCATTACTTTTCATGAAGTTCTTCTGGAAAGGCCATCGGTATAGGCAGGCATGGAACAAGGTAAGTACATAAATAAACAACCACTTGCATTCCAAGGCTATTTGCCTCGGCTCTTTTTGTGAACTTGCAGGGATTTCATGGGGTTACCAGAGAGATTCTAGACAGAGTATAATATGAACTTGTCAGGGTGCCAAAATGTAGAACAAAACAAAAAAGATTTGTGGCTTTTGTCTGCAAGATCTGATGGATTAGAGTGTTAGATTCTTCACTTGTTGGCGGGGGGAAGCGAACACTCCAATCCCCGGTGCCTCTGTGGCCGTTTCATTGCACTTTTATGGATGGTTTGTTCTGATCTGAAAAGTCAGTAAGGTTCGGACCCTCCACAGACTAGTAATGGGGATGTGAGAAACCACATATGGTCATGCTTATAATAAACCATGCTGATCCACGTGTCACTAGGGGGATGTTTAGTAACAAAACACAAACTTCCAAACAAGTGATAATAGTGCCTTATGCTTGCACAGTGTCTTTTTGTCTAGAAGCTTCTTCAAGCATTTTACAAACTTGTATAAAGGGTCCCTCACCACTCATTGGGCTGCAGTTGTATCTAGGGCAGAATAAAGGCAGCT